GATTTGTTTCAAGTTCAACATTTGGTTATTACCTTACCTGAGAATTTCATTTCTTTGGGACTCCGCGTATCTTCCTTGCCTTTGACATTTGACTTCTATCTTTCTACAATTTTCGAATAATTGTGCAGCAACCGATAGTTTTTAAGCACCAGCTTAAGACCTGCTTTTGTTGTTCTCAGTTTTCTAGGTCCAGATCGAATCCCACATCTGCCAGTTCTTAAACGAAATTTTATTTGCTGAAAAGGTTTTATTTAGGTTTTGTTGAACGATTTTCCCCCAGAAGTTACAACCGTCTCCTTTAATCGACATTCACAAACAAAAAGGTTTTTTTTTTCTTGAGATGATTGCATAATTAACATAACCATTAAGTATCACGTTCGTATTTCACAAGATTTTTCTTTAGTCTCTATTTTGCTATATTTTGTAACACTATTTTCTCTAAATGTTTATCTGCCTGAAGCTAATCTTTATAACGATGCAGATGTCTTTTGCTGATCTTTGTAATAATGCAGAAGTGTTTTTGTGTACTTATCTTTGCATCGACGCAGAAGTGGTATTTTGCTGATGCTTGAGTACAAGAAAAGAAACTTTTGGAGTAGAAGCGGCGGTCGCATTTAGCTATTTTAACAGTAAATGGGTGGGACCTACATGCACATCTAGTAACACACTTAAATTCATGTAGTCAGGGTGCCGGAGAAAAAAGCTCGTCAGAGCAGTCGCCATGATAATATTTGTAGAAAAGACAGACATAAGCCACGCCACGTCGGTGAGAAAATGACTGAAGTCAATAAATATATATATATATATATATATATATATATATATATATATATATATATATGGGGTGATCGTGTGTGTGTGTACAATATATATATATATATATATATATGGGGGTGTACGATAGGTTCTGTCCTAAATTTTCGAACCTACCCAAAAGCCCTTACGCACAAAATTCTGATATTTGGTCACACCCTAGGAAATGGATAGGATCAGAACTTTTCAACACCTCCTTGTATAATTTGCAGGCAGAATAATTTAACAGCTATAATCAAGGTTCAAGCAATAACCGTAAAAATTACATCGAAAAATTTAACCATATCCCCACACACACACACGCACCTCCAAAAGAATTGTACTTTTTTTTTCACGAATAACCAAACCCGCTAAAAATATACACAATCTTTCAATACTTAGGAAGTAAATAAAAAAAAAAGAAACAACAAAGCCTATTGGTTCGCCTTTCACCGAAAAGCCTCACCATTTTTAATTAATATCCAACCGGAAAATCAATTTTTCTTTGCTTTAACTCGAGGGAAACGAGTAATTGTTAACAGCATTGGACGATCGTATTTGAATTAAGTGACTTCTACCATCAAGGATCGATCTGAAGAAACTATATTTCTTGCATTATTTCAAGATCCATTTACTGTCCTCCAACCCACGTTCCCTGAACTTTTCGAATACCCGTTGTCATATTTATACGGCCCCCAGGGTCAGTCCTAAGATATTATACTCAAATATTGTTTAATTTACATTAGAAAATGAGAGGGGGGAGAGAGTTAGGAAAACATTGAACGTCAGAGAAAATCGGCTGAGAGCAACGAAAAATGAAGCGAGTCAGCGTACTGAAGTGAGAATGAACAGCATTGTAAGAGAGAGGGGGGAAAAAGAAAAAAAAGAGAAAACGAAACAAAAAATAGTAAGCTCAGAAAAAGCAAAGAGTAGATAGAGAAAGAGATGATATATTCTTGAAAGAAAGAAAGAAAGAAAGAAAGAAAGAAAGAAAGAAAGAAAGAAAGAAAGAAATTTTACAAAATTATAAAAGCACTTCAAAGTGATATAATGGTTACTAATCTTGTCTAGTTCAATAAATTACACCTAACTAATGATGTTGATTCTCACTATGTTCTCCTTAATCTCGGCTTTGTACCACATCTAAACTACGCTTAGTAAACCAATATTATAAAATTACAGTGTTACTTCTAACTCCCTGTGAAGTTACCTAAGCTTACTTTTAAATGAAATCTTGCTTGTTTAATTTGAGGGTTATCCTCACATGGCTCTACCAGTTTCGCCAAGAAGTCGTTAGAGGGCGCTGTCCAACAACTATAAAAAAAAACCAAAAAAAAACCGGACACTTCCTGTTTTCACTCTCTTTTCTCCCTTTTTAATTCTAACACGCGGTAGAAGCAACTCCAGCGGGACCGTGTTCCCGAGAATGGGGATTTGTTCCCAGATGGCTGAAACTTCACACACACACACACACACACACACGCGCGCGCGCGCGCGCGTACGTCTATCATCCACATAATTCGTAACCTCTAATGTCTTTCTTCTTTTGCATGCACACTCCTGTATTTTCGTTCCTTTTACTCGGTTATATAAAAACAAAATATCGCCTTCTTGAAATTGTTTTCCATTTTTACACACGACATTTACATGTGCAAAATATTGTTTCTACTGCTTTGAGACTAACAGTTTAGCGTCTAAGACGTGATTTAAACTTATACAAACTTCTCATCAACGAACAAATAGAGGAGTCCGTTAAATCTTATTGTCTGTAGATGGAAGAGGCTGTAATTTTTCACTGATACTAAGCTTCCTTTTTACACTTTTCTTCTGCTTCGATACCATGATGATGGCAGAACAATTAATATATTAACCAAAATAACAAAATAATAGATTTCTCACAGCTACTTTCTCA